TTTTTTCGTATATTGTTTGTTATTGATTATAATTACTTTCATTGCCAAATTCAAGAATATATTATGTATGATTAAACCCATTTGAATTTATTGAAATTTGTTGTATGGTCTACAAAGTTTTGGTGCATATTCCATGTGCACTTGAGAAGAATGTTTTGGAGTGAAATGTTCTATGAATATCAATTAGGTCTAGTTAATTGATAGTGTCTTTTCAAATCTTGAAATACAAAATCTTACTGATTTTCTGCTTGTTTCTATCCATTAATGCAAAGGTTACTGAAATTTCCAATGGTAATTTTTCTATTTATTCGAAACATGTTTTGAAAAAGGAAGTAGAATGAAGGAGCACGGAGCATCTGTGCGTTGGAAAAAGAATTGAAAGATACAAAAGAAGCAGATGCAGTAAACTGTTGGCTTTCTTTGATTACTAGGCATTTGTATTTCTTCTCTATAAAATTTTCAAGTAATTGCTCATTTTTGCAATAGGATATTTGTATTTTTATTGAATTATTAGAACAAATTATATATAAAGTGTCTATGATCATCATATATCCTGTTAAGTGTTGACATTTAGAAAAATTCTTGATTCATATATACAGATTTAGTAAACTGATTTCATTGAACTTTCTGAATTTTAATATATTCTCAATTCAGTCAGGTTTTCTTTATTCTAAATAGAATTTTTAATCATATAATATACATAGATAATATAATTTTCACCTTTTCAATAGATTTTTTTCCTATTTTTTTCTTTATTACATTGGCTAGATCTTCCCAAATAATGTTAAAGTGTAATAGTGACTTCATGATTAATATGCTTGTCTATTATCAGCCTATAGTGGGACTAGCTCATAGTTCAATATCAACTGAATGATTTAATTGTGCTTTCAGATTGAAGTTTGTTTTCATTAAATAACTAGTTTTTTCTTAATACCTTTACTGGGTTTTATGAGGAGGGGAGGTTGGATTTTATAAAGTGACTTTTTGAGCATCTATTAGTATTTATTTTGAATTATGAACATGATGAATTATAATGTTTACTAATAAATCATTACATTGTATGAATAAGATCCAGTTGGTGATAGTTTATTGTTACTTTATTGTAATGTTAAATTAAATTTTTTATTCTATTTAGGAATTTTGCATATGAAATAAGTGACATTTTATTTTTCTCTTTGAAATTTTTTGTCACAGTTTAATATTAGAATTATGTACAGCAGTTTCACAGAACAAACTTAGACTATTTCAGTATTTATTATATTCTGGAAAGGGTTATATAACACTATGTGAATCATTTCACTGAAAGTTTGAAAGAACCCAACTGTAAAGAGAATTTGGGCACAAAGACTATTTGTGGGTTAATTTTTTCTTAAGTGGTATTCATTTTCTTCCATAGTTACAGAAAAACACATTCTTTAAAATGAGAGTGCCATTTGCTGTGTTAGTGCTGTGAAGTGGAAAACATTCAGAAATGCTATTTTTCTCTGGTTTTTGTCTTAAATAGATTTTTGTTAGTTCCATTTGTTTTGAATTTCTTTATTCCTCTACATATGATAGCAGGATTTCCACATCACATTCTTCTACTTCTTTTTTTTTTCTCAAGTTCTCATTACATCTGGGTGCCAGATCTTGGTTCATCCTTTAATGTTTCACCTTTCAGTGCAATTTTGTTTCAGATGTGTCTTTTCAAATTAGCATCAACTTATGTATTTTTTAACTTTTTATTGAAGTTAAGAAACATACAAAAATACACATAGTGTAAGTGTTAGAGCTCAATTATCACAAAATGAGTTCACCCATACAACCATCATCCAGGTCAAGAAACAGAATATTACCACCACCCTAGAAGTTTTGTTCTCTCCTAATCTGTACCTCTCCAAATGTATTAGCTTGGCTTTTAAGATCATAGTTAGTATGACCTTATTTTTTACTTTCATATGTAAAATTTTAAGGTATTTTTTGTGCATATTATTCTTTTCATTCAACATTTTGTAAGTGAAATTCATCCATGTAGTTGCATGGTGCTAGACTTTCTGCTAATTTTCATTGTTGTTTGGTATTTCATTGAATGAATATATCATATCTTATTTATATATTCTGCTACTGATTGACAGTTAATTCTAGTTTTGAGCTACTATGAATAATGTTCACTGAACATCCTATGGCATGTATTTTGGTGCAAATATTCACTCATGATATGCCTATTGGATTATACCTAGGTATGAAATATAATTGTGTGTGTGTGTGTTGTGTGTGTGCGTGTGTAAATACTAATTAATCTACATAGTTACAAATTCTTGACTTTGTCTGCTTTTATTTCATTTTATTTTACTTTAGTCCTAGTCTGATAATGTGTTGTAGTACCTCTCTGTGTTTTAAGTATGCGCTTCACTGGTTTCCAATGAGGCTGAGCTTTAGCACTAGCATTTGGATATCCTCATTTGTGAAGAGGTTGGCCATGTTTTTGACATGATTCAAACTGTATTTTTTTCTTAGCAACATGCAGAGGTTATCGTGTATGTAATATTCTATGATAATATCCATATCCTTATTTTTCAGATATTATGTATCGTAAATATTTTTCACATTCTTTGATTTGCGTTTACTCTTTCTAAATATGGTGTATTTTGATAATTGGGAGCTCTTAGTTTTAATTTATCAATTTTTAATAGTTATTCCTTTTTGTGTTCTGTTTAAGAAATCTTTGCATACCTCAAGGTCATGAAGTTATTCTGTATTAACAATTAGAAGCATGTTAGGGTGCCAAACAGCACACAGTGGAATGTACCATTTTCGCTGTCTTTAAAAAGCTGGGTGTCAAATCACACCACACAAAATCCAGCAACCACAAATAACTTCAATTCAATGCTTATTACTCCTACAGATATAAGCAAAGCAAAGGAAATCCTCAGGTGAGCAAGAGCTGTATTTCAATAGCAAAAACTTCCTCTTGAGTGTCCGGAAGAAGAGATGGAAGAGAGGTGAGGTCATGGAGGAAAGATATATAGAAATTAATTTAGTAATAAATTTGTCTACACAAGATATGCCTATTGTATAAACTGAAATAGTGACTTTGGATAGGAAAAGGTAAATTAAGTTGTGGAAGAGGTAAGATCAGCCAATATTAGTATGTAAATTGTTCTGGAGTGTGAAGCTGTCCAGGATAATTTCAAGGATTCTGAATTAGAAAACTAGTCTTTAGACACTGAGATAGAAGACATAGAAAAAGATTTCTCCAGAAGAAGAAGTAACTTTATTGAGTTTTATGTGTTTTGTGTTTGAACTGTCTTTGGGAATTTGGGGTAGAGAAGTCTGATTATTAGTTGAAAATATAGTTTTGAAGCTAAAGAGGAAACCAGCACTAGAGACAAAAGATTAGGAAGTCAATGGCATGTAAATAACATTGTTGATACTTGGAGAATTCCACAAGGAATGACTCATGACTTGAAAACAAGTGAATTATGATATCAACAAGACATATTTTAAAATAGATGTACATAAGATTAGAGTACATAAGGTAAGAGTATATTAAAATAGGTGTACATAAAATTAAGTGAAAAGACACCTTGATGTAGGGGAAAACCTAGCAGTAATAGAATTGATAGTTAATCAATTGGATAAGGTGGCATATATGAAGAATAAATTTGTCCATCAGAAATTGGGTTGGTAAGTCATGGAAGCATAAGAAAGGATCATGAAACCAAAGTTGAACAGTTCCCATCTTCAAGGGCCTTAGGGCTAATGACTTTATTGGATGATCCTAAGGTCTGTTGCAATCACTGTCAGTTTTTTGTCATATCATGTGTCTTAGCCTTAAAACCTGAAGAACAAACCCTTGGCCATGAAAATGCACTAAAATAGTGTCATGTTCTATTATGTGTCATCTTTTAAAAAGCAACACATCTATCTTTTCTGAGCTTGCATCACTTTCGGCTAGCTATATATTTCTGTTTTTTTGTGAAGTTTCTATAGTTCATTTTTAAATAAAAAACAACTAGTGTGATTGCATAGGAATAAAACAAAAAGGGAAGAGACGTGGTGATGAAACACTGAGCACTATATTGAGGTGAGAGGAAAAGAAAATAAGTTAGTGAAGGCCTGGAGAGAAATGAGAGAATGAATGGAGATCACCAGTGTAAAAAAAATAATAAACATGAACAAAGACATTCGTTTTAAAAGGTAGTAGGCAATGGTTTCAAAAGACACATTGGTGAAAAATAAGAACAGTATGAAAGGTATGCAGTAAACTTTCAACTAGAATTATGGACTTTTGGAAATAAGCTAAAAGGTGATTAACAACAGGTAATTGAATCTAAATTGAAAACCAACATTTCAGCACTTCCATTTCACTTTTCTCTAAGATTTTCTTATTTCATGCAACAAACTTATCATAGATTTTTTTTTTTACTTAAGCCATCAATAAAAGAGTACCAGAAATGGCTATTACCTTTTATTTGAGCATCTATTATATCCTGGACAATGCTATTCATTTTGTATCTTATTTAGTCTTTAGCTCAGTAAATTAAATATCACATTTATTTTATGGATATGCGAATGGGGTTTAGAAAGTTTAATTCAAAAGTTACACATAGAGTAGCTGACTTGGATTTAACATGAAGCCCATGCTCTAGTCACTACAACAAATTGTTTGAGAAAACTAATATCCCTATCAGGATGTCTTCTTAACTCTCTTCACTATTTTATTAACAGGCATTATTTCCTCAAAAGAGAGAGAGAGAGAGAAAGCTCTAGGGAATGAAAGAGAAGATAGAGGAGAATCTCAAATGGTGGTAATTTTTTCAACCTCATCTATACCTCAATTTTGAGACACTCTGTAATATTTGAGAATTAACAGAGAGGAAACAAGATAGAAGTAGGAAACTACCAAAGACTATTTATTTAAAAATATTCTTTGCCCATGGAATCCAGCTAAAAGACTCAGTTACTAAAATATCCCACAAGGCAGCTGCTTTCAAAAAGACCTCTACCACTAGCACAAGATGGAGCCATTGGCATATTATGATCAACAATTTGTGCCATTAGAACACTCTTACCAACCGGCCACAACCAATTCATTGACACATCAATACACAGGTGAAAAACTAAATCAACCCAATAAGCTGCCTGTAGTCAGAGTGCAATCCCATAGTAATCACCTTGCAGCGCCTCCAGTTAACTCTAAGAAGTTGGTGCAGAGCTGCTCAGTATTGCCCTCTGCCAAGTCTCAGGACACAATTTCACCGGGTTTCTATAACAAGGCTCCAAAAGCACCATTATCCCAATCCAAACGTCAGGACACACCTGCACTAGACCCCCACCAGAGAACTTCACTGTGGCCTAATCAGAGAGCCTTGAGCTCACCTTTGATCCACCATAAATCCCAGGCAACACCTTCACTTGATCTTAATAAGACATCTTCATCACTGGAGTCCAGTCAAACAAACTTGAGCTCACGATTACCCTTCCCCAAACCTCAGACTACATCTTCCCGAGACTTTTGCTGGACATCACCTTCACAGAAGTCTAATCAAAGAGTCTCAAGTTCATCATTATTTCCCCCCAAACATCAAGAAACACCTTCCCTAGATGTCCTCTGGAAATCATCTTCTTTGGGACCTAATCAAAGAGTGCTTGGCACAGAATTACCACAGTCCAAGCCTCAGAAAACATCTTCATTGGATGGCCTTTGGACATCTTTATTGGAGCGCAATCAAAGATCTTTGAGCTCACTATCACTCAACTCTACGTCTCAAATACATGACTTGCTTCAGTCATCATGTTCATTGGAATCCAATCAAATGGCTCTGAGCTCACCATTATCTGACTCCAAACCTCAGACAACAGCTGCATTGAGCTCTAATTCCATTGTTCTGAGCTTACCATTGTCCCATTCAAAACCAAGGAAATCACCTTTAGCACATTCTGTCCACCAGACTAAGAGTTTGCCATTGTTCCCACCTAAATCTCAGACAGTGCTTACACTTAATCGGGACTTCAGGACCCTCAGCTCACTGGTTTGTCACTCCAAGTTTCAGAATACCTCTTCACCAAATGACAAATACAGGGCCACAGATTTATCTTCACCCCAGTATAAACCAAATGTCTCAGGTCAATCATTATCAAGCTCTAAACACTTTATCAGGAGCATAGCTGCTTCAACATTGGGCTCCAGATTCCAGAATAAAGGCAGCTTTGATCTTTGTGCAAAGACAGCATCAAATAAAGAAATATCATGGAATTTAGATTATATTCATCCCTGCATTGTTAAAGGTGGAAGTGTCCCTGATGATGTTGTAAATAAAATTGTCAATTCCCTCTCCAAGACCAGAATCCAGAGGGATCTCTGTAGGCAGATTCTCTTTCGAAGAATGAGGGGAAGGCCAAATCCTCATCCTGGTCCCCGACTTTCATCAAATTATATAGTATGTTTAGCTTGTGCTTCCTGCATAAAATCTCAATGTAACCATCTTACGGGAAGGAAAGATCCTCATGGCGCAACGCTATTTGTCATCCCAACACCTGAGCTCAGTTCTGAGAGGGGAATAGAAGTGAAATTAGTTTTTCTCCTCTCCATACCAAAGACTTCTCCCTCATCTGGTCTTCCATCCTCGGTGAAAGAAAATCAGCCTGATGAAATCCCTGAAGACAACTTTGAAGGAATGGAAAAGATACAAATTCTCTCTACATCTGAACCTGATATCACCCAGGAGCTAAATAGGAAGAACAATGGGCTGACAGCAGCCTCTGAAGACAGAGTTGTAAGCCAACAACCTCAGGCTATTGACTGGCTACTTTATGTGAAGAAAAGTAATAATTTTGAGCTGCAGTCCCTGCTTACATCCCCTTCATCCTCTACATCCTCCTCCTCCTCTTCATCATCTTTCTCCTCCTCTTCTTCTTCAACTGTGCCCTCTTTACCCCCTCCTTCCAAAGAGTCTACCACATCTACTCTCTCAGGTTGTGTGTTCACTAAGGTGCTTAGTTACCACCGATTGCCTCCAGGGGTCTCCTGGCTTGAGTTTGTATGTAGTAAAAATCATCAGCCACTTACTGGGAAACCACAGCAAAACCAATCACCATCTCCCAGAACAAGGCCTATGAGGAATAGCACTACAGTAAAAGGGCCAAAGGGACCAAAGATGCTGTTCAAATTTTTTCAGACAAAGTTTCAAAATGAGAGAAATATTGATTAAATTAACTTTTGTTTCTTTGAAAGCAATTGACCTCTTAGTTCTTTGAAACTAGAGATTGATTTCTTATCATGCTTATTAAAATTCTTAGTAATAATTAAGTGTGATTGTATATTTTAGCTGACGAAGCACCTAGTTAAGGGGAACTAATACTCTTAAGTCTATTTTCTAGGTAAATAATAGACTGTGATCTCCTAGGAGACAAAACTGAATCCCAGGTTTTTAACCAAATGCCCAGCTTATAGTAGCCACTGTATAATCATTGTTACACGAATTAATCATAATTGGCCATAAACCAGAAAGACCTCATTTGTCTTGCCCTGAACAGTATCTAGCTCATTGTTATTCTCTTTCCTCATAGAATATGCTAATGACAGTATTCATGAGCCAATTCATGCTAATCTGTTTCCCTATCTCTAAAGAAAATTCAGATCATGTTCAATAGATAAGAATGTATATGGAGAGGAATGTTTTCTCTAGTTATGATAATCTCTTTCTAGTTATGTGTTCCTAGGGAAAATTCTTCTATGCTAAGATCCTACACTCTGAAATCCAGCGATCTGTTCAACCCTAGTTAACAAATCTCAGGAGAGAATAACTAACTGGTACAAACAACTTTACCTATGGTCTGGGCCAATATTTAAATTATAGGTTCTAAAGCCTGTTCATCACTTCTATCTATACATCCAAAATGGGTTAATAAAAATGTTTTAAAAATGGTTTTGTGCCACTGGGTCTACTGGTAGTGGGAAGAAAAGGGAGGTGTCTTAACCTACTCACCTTAAGTGATCATCTCAATCCCCAGGGTCTAAATTTAGTATCATTTGCATGCACTAATGACTCACAATGCTGCTCCACAAACATCTTTCTGACTGTATACTGGAAATTTCCAATTGGAACTTTGCACAGGCATCCCAAACTCAACATGACCCACCAGAATTTATTATCATTTACAGTTCGGGTCATTACATTTATAATCCTTTGCCCCCAGTGTTCCTATTTCAATGGGATGAACCACCATTCATCGCAGAGTTATGTTTAACTCTTTTTCTCATTGCCTGCTCCTCTCTACGTCTATGAGTTCTATGGCCTTATTATTCCTACATTCCAGCATTGCCACTATCCTAGTTGTGGTCACAACCATTTGTCACCAGGATTACTGCAATAACTCCTAAACATGCACTTCTAACTTTTGAACACAGTTGTAAGACACAGATGTGATAATGCCACTCCACTGCTTAGGGTCCTTTCATCATTGGCCAGTATTTTCTGGGGAAAGTCTAAATTTCTTTTATGATTGAACTAGTATGATTCAGCCATACTAATTGCTTTAAAATGCACAGAATGTACCAAGGCCTCTGTTTTTAAACTGATTTTTTTTTAATGATTTAATTTATTTTTCATTATGTTAAGTTCTTCATCCCCTATTTCCTTCATTGGCCCACTCCCCTCCCCTCTGGTAACCATCAGTTTGTTCTCTATATTTAAGAGTCTTTTTCTTGGTTTGTCTCTGTCTCTTTTTTTTTCCTTTGTTCTTTTTTTTTTTTTTGTCTCTTAAATTCCACATATGAGTGAGATCATATGATATTTGACTTTCTCTGACTTACTTTGCTTAGCATTATACTGTCTAGCTCCATACATGTTGTTGCAAATGGCAAGATTTCAATCTTTCTTTTCATAGCTGAATAATATTTCATTATATATATCAACTCTTCTTTATTCATTCACCCATTGATGGACACCTTGGCTGCTTCCATAATTTTGCTATTGCAAGTAATGCTCTAATAAACATAGATGTGCATATATTCCTTTGAATCAGTGTTTTTGTATTTTTTGGGTAAATACCCAGTAGTGAGATTACTAGATCACAGGGTAGTTCTATTTTTAATTTTTTGAGAAATGTACATACTGTTTTCTACAATGGTTGTGCCAGTTTACATTCCTACCAACAGTGCAGGAGGATTCCTTTTTCTCCACATCCTTGCCAACAATCGTTGTTTCTTGTGTTTTCTATTTTAGTCATTCTGACAGATAAGGTGATATCTCATTGTAGTTTTGATTTGGAATTCTCTGCTGATGAGTAACATTTTCATGTGTCTGTTGGCCATTTACATGCCTTCTTTGGAGAAATGTCTATTCGTGTTTTCTGCTGAGTTTTCAATTGAATTATTTGCTTTTTGGGTTTTGAGTTGTATCAGTTCTTTATGTATTGTGGATATCAACCCTTTATCAGAAATGTCATTTGCAAATATCTTTTCCCATTCAGTAGGTTGCCTTTTAGTTTTGTTGATTGTTTTTTTGCTGTGCATAAACTTTTTATTTTGATATAGTCCCAACAGTTTATTTTGCTTTTATTTCCCTGGCCTCACATCCTACACTCTTAAAGAGAAAATTCTGCTGTTCAGAAAGATCTTCCCATACATGCAGTTTTATCCTACAGGGCTCTGTTTTGTCTTGACGTCTTCTGGAAAGCCTTTTCCTGATGCACTTACATAAGGGTTAGTTGGCTTCCCTATTATCATAAAACTGTGTTAGTTCTTTGTACTGCTCTTAACCACATTGTAAAGTAATTGTTTCTTATCTGTTTTCACTTACTATACTGAAAACTTCTTGTGCTATTATTTTTTTAACCTAGTCCTTGGCGTAGAGTGCATGCCCTAAAATAGTGTTGATATTGAATTAATGCTTTTGAAAGTCTTCATCTTCTTTTAGTTCTTTGAAATAAGTAACATTTCATCAGTTTGCTTCTTTCCCATAAGTTTGAATTGTTCTTTGTACCTTTTATCTTGGTGAGAACATGTATAAAACTGTTATTGATGACAGCAGTCATCCTTGTCTTATTTCTTATGTTAACAGTGCTTCTTTCTAGTATTTCAGTATGAAATGTGATGCTGGCTGATGTATAGCTTATCAGTGATGATGAAGAAAAAGTTAATGTATGTGATAATGTGTTCATGGCCTTCACCATGATAGTACTTTAGAAAACACTTGACAAGTGTTTTATTCATCCTGAACTTCTCTTTTGATGACACACATCACTTTTGTCATTTCTTGTTTAATACTCTCTCCAGTATACTAAACTTCAGGAGTAGAGGTCCTGCGTTAATCTTGTTTACCACTAACTCTTCAGGGCTTAGTGGTACCTGGCACGTATTAAATATTCAATAAATATTTATGGAATTAAGTCAAACTGAGGAGCTCAACTGATTTTTATTTATTGATAGAATTTACATGTTTAATTTTCTGTCTCTTAGCTTGTTTTCTAAACTTTATACCTCAGTGTAGTTTCTTTTCACTCTTTCCTTTTTTTTTTTTTTTTTTTTTTTTTTTTTTTTTTTTTTTTTTTTTTTTGGACTATGATTTAGTTGTTAACTTTTCAGTATATTGACAGTTATTTATATTTTCTTAATTATGACAGTGCCTACTTTCAAAATTTTTTCAAAAGAAGTCTTTAGCCAGTGTTTTGTACTTTGAAAATAAAATTGCATCAAACTTATGGGGCAAATGCATAAGCAATGGTTATCCAACCGTATCTCTCTCCCAGATTGTATTGAGATACCAATAGAATTTTAAAATGAGGAAAAACATGTGTCATTCCAGAAGGGCCAAAAAATTTTTGCCAAATATTATATAGATCAGACTAGATTTTCAAAAGGCAGAAGGACTCAAAAATCACTACATTAAAAAAAAAAAAGATCATCTGAAAAGTAATAGAAAAAGTTTGCTCTCATTAATACTTTTCTCCTTAAATTGAGAGGGATAGACATGAGAACACATCTTTTTTTTTTTTTTTAAGTTTATTTATTTAATTTGAGAGAGAGTGGGGGAGGGCAAAAAGAGCGAGAGAGAGAATCCTAGGCAGGCTCTGCACTGTCAGATGTGGGGCTCGAACTCACAAACTGTGAGATTATGACCTGAGCCGAAGTTGGATGCTTAATTGATGATGCCACCCAGGCGCCCCTTTGTAGCAATTCTGTATATGTGTATTCCACACATATGCTCTTTGGTTTAGCTTGATACTAAATGACCCTTGCGCTATCAATAAATGCTACTTGGTCATCATATGTTGTGATTATACCCTACCACATTCAGTTTTCTAAAACTGACTATCATTATACATCTATATTCAAAAGTAGAAATAAATGAGGACCAACCAAATGAGAACAAGTAAAGGCTATTTATTCAAAGCTTGTTATAGCAAGGGAGTCAGCCACCATTACTTGTATTTGGCAGAAATTTAAAAGCAGGCAGGATAATAGGAAAGTTTTGTTTTTTTAATTTTTTTTTTCCAACGTTTATTTATTTTTGGGACAGAGAGAGACGGAGCATGAACGGGGGAGGGGCAGAGAGAGAGGGAGACACAGAATCGGAAACAGGCTCCAGGCTCTGAGCCATCAGCCCAGAGCCCGACGCGGGGCTCGAACTCACGGACCGCGAGATCGTGACCTGGCTGAAGTCGGACGCTTAACCGACTGCGCCACCCAGGCGCCCCATGGGATAAGGAAAGTTTTATAGGAGAAAACAAGAGGATTCAGGTATGCCCTAAATGGAAACAGTTGGCATAGCAAAGCTGTGGGCAAACTTACTAGAAGAGGGTCATCCTACTTGGTTGGTATAGTGCACATTTGGCTTTCTCTGAGAGGTTCTAAGTTGGAAGTGGAAGCAGGACAAAATTTAGTGAAGCTGTTACTTATTTCATCATGTCCTGGCCATTTTGGGTGAATGGTTTCAGGTATTATTGTTTGACTTCCTGCACCATTACTAGAGATGATGGTCTGAATTTCTACAAACCTAACATAGTAATAGAAGGTGTGCTTCCTTGGATGGTTACTACAGATCATGAGTTGATTTCTTGGGCTGCTAGTTGCAGGTTATAGGTTAGAGTTCATGTTTATACATGATCATTGTATATTCAGTCTATCAGCATGATCTGTCTAACCTTTTCTTATACAGTCTTGATAGTTTTTTTTTATAGAATTATAAATTAATTGAATAGATTTTCCTATAGTTTCACTGTTTTAAACAATTTGTATCCCATATTTTTAAGGCAATAATTTTTTGTTTGGTCCTTCCACTACTCTTAGAAATTTCTGGATACATTTCTTGGTAATTCGTAATTTAGATTACTCTGATATTTAGGGGCACCTGGATGGCTCAGTTGGTTAAACCTTCGACCTCAGCTCATGTCATGATCTCAGGGCTCATGAGTTCAAACCTCATGTTGGGCTCTGTGCTGACAGCTCAGAGCTTGGAGCCTGCTTCAGATCTCTGTCTCCCTCTCTCTCTGCTGCTCCCCCCACTCACACTCTGTCTCTCTCTAAAATAAATAAATGTTAAAAAAAAATTAAAAAAATAGATTACTGATATTTGACATTTTTTCAATCAATTTTTCTCTGTTTGGATTCTTAAGGAATTTTTGT